CTGTGCTTCTAGTCTAAGTTTGAATAAGCAGGTTATAACCTTACCACAAGAGAGCCATCTCGCTTCTGTATGAAAGAACAGAGAAGTATGAAGACTCATTAAGTCTTTGTGCATGATTTTAAAAATTCTTGAGTTTGCGGAATTTTTCTGTGTAAAATTAACAATCTTTACTGCATCGTTGAGAACAAGTTTCGATTCTTCTGGAAGGCACTTTGTTTCTAGATTTTGCCTATGGTTACAGAAGTGGCTCCAAATTACATTAGGAGCTGCATTTAAGATGTGTGGGTGAAAAACAATATAGTTATAAACCTGACATTGGCACCATTAGTACACAATCCACTACAGTTTGACCAACTTATACCTTTCAATATAAAATATTCATCAATATCTTTAAATATTTCTTTGCCTGTTGTGTGTGGGGAGAGAAAATGACAAAGTAAAAGATTCTCATCAAATATCTTTAGTCTATCTTTAGTCTTTAATTTACCTAGCAATAACAAGCAATACAGCATTGTTTGTTATGTCTGCAGTCTCATCTACTTGAATTGAGAAAAATTTTTTTTTTTTTTATTCTCTCCTGTTTCCTCGATATCATCAAACATATCATGAATTCTTTTCAATACCGTATTGTTTGAAAAAGGAATACAATTAATTTTTAGGATATATTTTTGTCAATCATAAGGCCAATGGCATCCTTTATACAAGGTAAAATTAATTTTTCTCCTATTTGATGACTATAACCACATGTGATATTTCTTTCACAGTTTGAAGCAAACTCCATTGATGGAATACAGCAATAATTTTTATTTAAAACTCAAAATGGCGACATACAATCAAGAAGAGAAAACATATTCTAACATTTTAAAATAAAATAAATACATTCTTCGTGCGAGAACCACACTTGGCTCTCGATCCTGCATTTCAAACATTGCCGTTAACATATACCTTAATGGTCATCTATTTAAATTATTTAATTTAAATTACAAGATTTAAATAACAATATTTAAAGCTGTTACAACCTCTCCCCCAACGGGGAAAAGTTCTGTAAAATTCGAAAGTTTATGAGCTCGGCTTTCTCATTTATTTAAGAGAATCAAAGAAATGTCTGTTACTGCAACAGCATCTGAATATTTGGACAACATACACAAAGCTGTAATAATATATTTTTTTCCAGTCCTTTCATGAGAGCTTCATCTTCCATGTTTTTAATTACAGTGATTTAACTTCTTCAAAGGCATCTCTGGTTGCTCCATTTTTTTCCTTCATCTGTTCCAAGACCGTCTCTTCGTCGCTTTTAGATATTTCTCTTTTCCTCTGAGCTGTAGTAGAGACTGCATTAACCTGGTATCACTAATTTTGCATTCAGTGATGAACTGATAAAACAAGGCAATTCAATATTAACAGGAAGTGATAACCTGGTATCACTAATATTATGTTCAGGATGAACTAATAAGATAAGTCAATTCAATATCAACAGGAAGTAATAGCCTAGTATCACTAATATTACGTTCAGTGATGAACTAATATAATAAGACAATTCAATATTAACAGGAAGTAATAACGTAGTATCAGTAATATTATGTTCAGTGATGAACTAATAGAATAAGGGAATTCAATATTAACAGGAAGTAATAACCTAGTATCAGTAATATTACGTTCAGTGATGAACTAATAAAATAAGACAATTCAATATTAACAGGAAGTAATAATCTGGTATCACTAATATTACGTTCAGTGATGAACAAATAAAATAAAAATATGCATGATTATTCGATTTCGGCCGGTGTCTCCAAAGTAATTAAGACTGTGATACTTCTTTTGCAGTTTGAAGCAAACTCTATTGATGGAACACAGCAATAATTTTTATTTAGCACTAAAAATGGCAACATACAGTCAAGAAGAGAAAATGTATTCTAACATTTTAAAATAAAATAAGTACATTCTTTGTGCGAGAGCCACGTGTGGCTCTCGAGCCTGCGTTTCAAACATTGCCGTTAACATATACCTTAATGCTCATCTATTTAAATTATTTATTTTAAATTACAAGGTTTAAATAACAATATTTAAAGCTGTTACACACATTTGGTGATATGGTAACTAATATAACTAACATCTACTGCACGTTCATTATCCTTATTAGCAGGTAGAATGTAAAATAATGAAACAGACATGTTGCTTTGTTCTTTTAAACATTTAAATAAATCACAATCTTTGTTTTTGTAATCCATATGTTTTGTATGTAGATGTTGCGAAAGAAATAAAGGCTTCATGCATCCATTTAAAAGCACTACCCCGCACACTGCACACTTGAGCTTAGGACAGACTTAGTCTCCAATATACAAAAATCTGTATTTTATATATTCATCGCAATATTTTTTTAACGCCGCTTTGGAAAACTGAAGATTGTGTGATTTCAACGTTCTGCACCGAATTTTCAGACCTGCTATTTATAGAACTCGGCAACACAACACTGTTAATGTTTTGCTTGAGATTTTGGCACATACCAGATCTTAACCAGTGATCCATGGCTTATTAAAAAAAGGTTAATCAATACGGGGATCAGTACAAAGACAATACAATCACAAACAATAACCTGCACGTGTAAGCCGTGCGGTGAAGTGAACGAGAGTGCAAGTGATGGCAAATGGCTAGCTTTAAAAGTGCACTCAAAAAAAATAAATAAATAAATAAATAAATAAAAAGATATCGTTGTTTGCTGGATTTTTGATCATTGACTGTACATATTAACAACTTTACTGTATAATATTATTAATTAAAATAATTTTTATGAATTATAGGAAAAAACATATCTATATTTTTTATTTAACTTTAAAAAAAAATATGTCTTTCATTATTGATTATTTTTCATGTACCACCAATCAGCAACTCACATACCACAGGCTAGGAAATGCTGATTTAAATGACTGCTATTTTTGTAGAACTCCAACTGTGAAAGGAATTAGTTTTAAGAAGCAGAAGCATGCTCAGTGTCCCAACATCAGTTCTGCTGTAAAGCCAGTACCTCACAGTGACATGCTTCCTGTACCACAACCACCTGTTAACTGTCTTTTAATTGATGAAGAATGCATATCATCTTTTAGAAAAAGTCTTGTTTTAGTCTTGAAAGTGAGACTGGCATGAATTGCATTCTATCGGAGAAACATTCAGAGCCTCACATGATAACAGAAGCAGAATTAAATAATCTTGTGCATGATTTCGGGTTAAGTTAGAATTAAGATGAATTGCTAAGATCAAGGCTTCAGGAGTGTAATGTGTTGGCTAATGATATATATATTTCCGTATATCATAAAAGACAAAGACTTCATTAGTTTTTATGAAAGATATGGTGAAATAGCTTTTGCAACAACATTCCAAGCCTCATGGAATCTCTAGATCTAAATCATTAACCAGAAGAATGAAGACTTTTTATTGATGCTTCTAAGGTGAGCTTAAAAGCAGTATTCCTTCATACTCGAAATGAATATAATTCCATTTCTGTTGGGTACACTTCATGAAGTAAAGGAAGTTACGATGCTTTGAAGAAACTATTACTTGTCTTGAAATATGATGATTTTAAATGGAAAATTTTGGCTGACTTGAAATGAATTTCTGTTCTTCTGGGAATGTAACTAAATGGAAGTTATACTAAATATTATTACTTTATGTGCTGATGGCTGACTTGAAAGTAATTTCTATTCTTCATGAAATGCAACAAAATTATACTAAATATTAATGCTTTATGTGCAAATGGACAGCCATGCTAAAGATAAACATTGCAATGTACAGAAATGGCCTTCTTGGAAATCCCTGGAACCCTGAGATAGAAATGTAACTAACCAACCTTTTGTAGCTCCAATTTACCTATTACTTCACATCAAGTAGGGATTAATAAAAAGTTTCACAAAATTACTTGATTGGGATGGAAGACAACAGATGGCCTTTATCTAGATAACCTTTATCAACTTATTTATTAAGACAACAAGGATTATTTATTAAAACAAAAAGGATTATTTATTAGGACAACAGATGGCCTTTATCCAAAATTTGTTCTCATCAGATGCTAAAATAAAAGAAGCGATTTTTATAGATCCAGACATTTGGAAACATGCAAAATGACCAATTTGAAACTGTTCTTACAAAGATAGAAAAAGACGTATGCTTTCTGCAAGGATGTAGGATAAATTCCCTAAGAAATTAAAAAGCTATAAACTGCAAGAGTATAGTTGAAAATATAGGGAAAAGTTTTAAAAATTTAGGTTGTCACTTATTATCAAAGCTTCATTTCTTACACTCTCATCTTGACTTCTATCCAGAGGATATAGCAGTTAGCAATGAACATGGGGAAAGATTTCACCAACAGATATCACTATGCAATCTTGTTATCGATTGCAATGGAATTCATAATACTTACCAAATATTGTTGGTTCATCAAGAGAGAACTTCTTGACAGAAATAAGTGCAAAACAAGTACCAATGTACTTGAATTAATACACTTAAAGTGTGTTCAGCTGTGTAAAATGTGTACAAGTACATTGCAGGTAAATTAAAAATTTTTATTGTATAAATTGATATTGTAATAATGTATAAACACATATCCATCCTTTAAAAAAAATTAAAATCATTTTTATGTACCTAATCTAATTAAAATATTGGCTTTATATTTAATTAAGATATTGGCTTTATATTTATTTATTTAATTAATTTATATTTAAGAAAAAAATAAAAAGCCAGTTTTTGTGTATCAATGTTATTTTTGCTTATTTAAATGAACAAAGAAAGAAATAGATTGTACTTTTTTTATTGACAGTACTTGCTTCGAAAACAAGAACACTTACAAGAGATGAGAACAACATATTTAATTTAACAGTGGCCAGTAGGCAACATTGACACATATATTTATTTATCCACAGCATATTGTTTAACACATGCTGTTGTATAGCAGGAAAGACCCCTTAAAGATTGTTGAAATTAAAGTAGGAATTTTAAGAACAAATTAGCCTAATTTATGTTGAAAACAAATTCATAAAATTATTAATCTCATTTTGCTTTTCTGTGTTTGATTTTAGATTTGTGATTTTGGTGCATCCAGGTTCATAGACAGTACTACAAAGATGTCAGTAGCTGGTACTTTACCTTGGATGGCTCCCGAAGTAAATATTTTTACTGTAATGTTATTCTTTGTAGGTAATATAATTTATGCACTTTTATAAACTCATTTGTTTCTAATCCTTATATTTAGGTGATTCAGTGCCTTCCAGTATCTGAAAGTTGTGATGTTTGGTCGTATGGTGTTGTTTTGTGGGAATTGCTTACACATGAAGTGCCTTTTAAAGGAATTGAAGGCTTTCAAGTTGCATGGGCTGTCGTGGAAAAAGAAGAGGTACATTGTAAGAAAATGCCTTTGCAAAAATAAGTCTATAAAACTTAAGTTGTTGCTTTTAGCTTTTATATTGTGCATCCATTCTCTATATATAAGTATTAATATCTGCTTTTAGTAATTTATTTTGCTGTTTGTTTATTTAATTGTTCTGATGAAGATATGAAAAATATGAGTACTAAAATGCAAAATTATTTCTTAACCTCGTTCAGTAAGTTAGATTATTTTAAAGATTAAAACAAGTGTAACCAATATTCTTTAATATAATAATTACACCGAGGGAGGATTTCTATTTCTTTGAAATTAACAGTATGAGGCATGAATAAAACATTAACACAATTTTCAAAATACATCTTTTATTGAAGTAAAGCAATGCAATAAGTAATTTTTTAAAATCTAGTTATTATTATTTACTTCCAATAGGTAAAAAGTATCACTGAACACCAAGTTATCTGGATTGCTTGTGTTCTTGCTTGCTTGTGTTGTATGCTTAGAAGCATAGTAAAATTTAGTTTGTTCATTCTTTATTTAGATTCTTTTAAATTTTTATCAAATTAAACAATGCAGAAGTAGAACATTACAATGTAATACTAGAGTATAATATATAAGAGTAATTTTTGAGATACTGTTCAATTTATTTAGAAGAATGTATATCCCTCTAATGTTCTGTAAATATCTATTATGTAAACATGGATAGAAAAGCAGTTTCATATTATACTTAGGGTGTTTCCAAAGTTCTAGAAATTTAAGTATATATATATATATATACACTTTTAAAATAATTCTACTTTAATTAAAATTAGGAGATAATATAATCAATTAATCAATACGGTTTAGGAAATAAATTATTATATATATATATATATATTGTTGATTTTCATCAATATTACAATGCAGGTTTTCAATGTAATCACAATTTAATTGAATACATTTATCCCAGTGACATCCTCACAGAACTTTTTTGGTGTCTCCTCTCTCTCTCTTCTGATGGTTAAACTCAAATCGAACACCCCATATAGGTTTGTTCAATTGGGAAACAGAGTATTCACTGCAAATGTTGAATTATTTCTCAAATGTTCACACCCTCTTTGAACTGAACTAGAGCTCAATTCCTAGGATCTTTGGAAATATCTCATGTGTATAGGTTACTATTCCTTTTTCTGTGCCATGAGCCTTCATGGCATAGAAAAGGAGCATTATTAGAAGCATATATACACATTAGAGCATTATATTAATTTCCTATCATGCAAGTAATTTTTGTCTTACATTATGATGCATGGCTGCAACCAGCTACTTTCTGTTAATCTTTTGGCATATGTTACACCTTTTCTTTTTTTTCTTATTCTTGAGATTAATGCCAGTTTTTCTTTAAACTTTAAATGTTAGTTTAATAATGAAGAAATAGGAGATGTATAAATAAATAGCAGTAGAATGTAACTATATATAATAAAATATTTAAGCAAATTAACATTATCTTGCATCTAATTAATAAATTACAGTATTTTTGGAAACTGAGTGTCATATATTTTTATGTATCAAAGAAAGATTCAGTTTCAGATACATTATTATTATCTTTTAAACACTGAGAGAAAATCAAAACTCTTTGAGCTTTTCAGTTTATGGTGAAATTCTGTTAAAACTGAGACTGTTGACAGTAGATTATGCATAATAGCTTTTGTAAATGTTTATTATTTTAAAAGCCTGTTGTTCAGTACATAATTTAATCATTTAAAAATAATTTTATATGGACTCCAAAAGTATTTTGAAACAACAGTTATTTGTGCCATGAATGTCATAAAAAATAGTTTTCTAACCCTCTATAATTGGTCAGTTGCAAAATTATTATTTCATGTGTACACTGTCATTTGTGTCCAGAATAAAGTGAATTTATTATGCAGAGACTTTTTGCATTGTAAAGGGCGTGATTTCTGTGCTTTGAAATTGAAGCATGTTTTGAGCTTAGTAGTATGAAGCATCATTAGGTCTTTGTCCTTGCAATCCATGATCAGGCTTCAATATTAACATAGCAGTAATGAACATTGGCCTTTCTAAGCATGCTATTTGTCAGCAGCATTGCCATTAACAACTTCAAAGAATGTTTAACAATACCTAGTTAGTTCCAATAACTTAATAAAGATTTCACTGTTAGACAAAAAGTTCACATGACTGCTATCTGTTCACCATAGTGGTAATCCAAGAAAATGATTTGCTGCTATGCTTTTTCATATACAGGTAATTAGTTATGGTACTACAGACATCATGTTAAAGCCCTAGAGAACACAATATTGTGTCTCCAAACTAGCAAAGCAGCAGTGAACATTGACTTTCTGTGACATTGCCATTAACAACTTCAAAGACTGTTTTTAACAACCAGTTAGTTCTAGCAACTTAGTGGTTTATCTAAAGATAGCAGCACTAGACAAAAAAGTCACATGGCTGCAATTATTTCACCTTAGTGGTGATCCAAAATAATGATTTTCCACTCTGCTGCCACCTATCTCACATGCAAACAAGGAGCTGTGTCATTGTAGACATCGTGTTAAGGCCTTAGAGAGCCAAATATTGTGTCTCGACACTAGCAGAGCAGCAATGAACATTGACTTTCTGTGAGGTTGCCATTAACACCTTCAAATAGTGTTTTTAATTTCTTTCAAACAGTAGCATACTTTTTTAAAGTAAAAGAAAATGCAACTTTTAAAATTGAAATTTGTTTTGAGTTGACTTTTGGTAATAATTCAACAATAAAGTTATAGTTTTATGAATTGGCATCAACAGATATTAGATTTATCTAAGAAAACAGCAAAATACACTAGTCATCAAAGTTAAAAGATAATAACAAACAATATGCTTACTAAGTTAATGTTGCATCCAATGCCCAATGCTGTGACTATCTCTGCTAATTAAATACAGTTGAATACAAAATTGCACTTTTGCGCATGCGCTAGTGCCGAAGATATGCAAATTCAGTGATTGACAGTGTGATGCACAATGGATGCATGTTGAAATTCCAGTCTGTAGTGTTGTTTAAAGTGAATGTAATTTCTGAGAGTGGTCAGTGTTCAATATTTATTCAGTGGTTGTCAGAAGTTAGGCTCAAAGGCATCATTTAGGTGAAGGTCAAAAGTGGCAAATAATGGATAGAATTGAGGAACGACAAACGCATGTGGAGGTCACCCAAGAATTGAATATTGCTGAAAGTGTCATATCAGAAATCTGGAGATGCATTTTAAGCACTGGATCAGTTGATAGTCAAGGGTGACCAAGAGCAACAGCTGCATCAGAAGACCGTTTTCTGTCGTTTTCGACTCAATAAACTTCGAAATAACTACAAGAGATTTGGTTTTATACCTTCAGACTGCCCCAGGAGCTCGAATTAGCTATTCTACTGCTGTACAAAGGCGTAACAAGGTTGGACTGAATGCAAGAAAACCAGTGATTTATGTCTCACCCACTCCAGCTTCCAGAGGGACCCGTTTAAATTGATGCCGTCATCATGTTCAATGGAATCATGCAGACTGGGCCTGAGTATTGTCTACTTATGACTCTAGATATAGTCTGAACAGTGATCCTAGTCGTGTTTTGAGCTAGAGAGAGAAAGGACCACACAACTTGCCTTCTCTTTTCCATGAAATATCTCGTTTCCATGACCATGGTTTAATGGTTTGAGGAAGAATCATGACAAATGGCCCCACCAAGTTGCGTATCTTTAAAGGAGGTTCTTTCTGTAACTGCCTGGAGATATGTGGATGAGAAATTTGAACTCCAAATTAGACTGTTTAGGGGTACTGTTGGCCCAGAGTTTTTGCTAATGGATAACAATGGTCAGCCTCATTGATCAAATATGGTGTCAGAATACTTGAAAACAGAAGATATCATTTGAATGGATTGGCCACCTTACCCACCTGACGTGAATCAGATTGAGCATGTGTGGGATGCTTTAGGACACCAAATTTCAGCATGTCAAATTTCTCCCTGGACCCTCAGGAGCTTAAAAGAGCATTTTTAGAATGTTTTTAGTTGTATAATTCCTTAAGATTTGATCAGCACTTTGGTAAAATATATGAAATCAAGATGTCAGGTATGCATATCTTCTGGGGTGACTGTACACCATATTAAAGAAAAAAAAAAAAAAATTCTGCAAGCAGGGGGCTTAATTTTTCCATCATTTTTTCAGTTTCCATAAATTTGGTTTTAATTTCAATATTTTACAAATAATGAACCATTAAACTTTGTAACGTATGTTAACTAATGCTTTCGTACAAATTTCTATTAATAATTTTGCATTAAGTATTAGTTATGTTTTACCTCTGACATTATCCTTTAATTTTGATAACCAATGTAGTCGCTTGATTTTTTCTCCCAATTTCTGAAGCTTTATATATTTTAAAACATTAACAATTTTTGCTTGTGAACACTTTATTGAGGTATTAGGTTATTTTCTAAAGCTTTCAGATGACAGATTTTTTTTTGAAAAACTGTTAATTCTAATGCAGCTAATTAGAAAACTGTGATTATTAGAAATATGCGAGAAATTTTAAGGAATATTTTACTTTTTATTTAGTCTGTGACAACTCTGAAAATTGAATTATTTGTACATTACAAAATGATGAAGTAGAAATCGGTATGATGTCTTTGAGCATCCTTATATATATATTTATTTACGTTTATGGGTACACTAATTTGACACTTTTCAAAGTTATTAGTTGCACTGCAGATTAACAAAATTAAAGAGTAAAACAATATTCTTTCTTCTAGCGTCAGTTGGTTGGTAAACTGTGTTAGAGCACTGTAATTTATGTTTTTCATTTAATGAAATAGTTCTAATCTATATGATATTTAAAGTGAAATATATTAGTTCCTTTTTCTATAAGATATCATTTTAATAGGCATATCAATCTTCAGGAATAATAAGAGCATATCAATCTTCTGAATAAAGCACATTTTATAAAATATCTATTACTGTATATGAACATATGTTTCTTAAGTTTACATATGGCAGAATACCCATGTTATTTTTTCTTCTTCATGAATTTTCGGTAATACGTAATAGCATTTTATTTTTCAGTCTATTCACCTTACAGCTTGAATATAGTTTTGTGTAGATTTAATTCTGAATAGAATTAGCTGATGGTAGAAGTTTTCACGAAACAGTACCTCCAAAGTACGCTGAGAAAAAAAAAAAAAAAAAAAAAAGGGGGGGGGGGAAGTTCTGTATCTTTTGTTCTACTGGGCCGATTGACAAAATTCAACTTGTGTTTTTCATGTCTCGAAAGTGGTGACTTAGGATATGTATTAGATTAATATATATAGCATTGTTCTAAAATAAGTATTTTTACACAAAATTTGACTTTTTCTGAAATAACATACTAATTTTGTTCCATATTTCGATTCTACAACTCAAATTAGGCCAAACTACCAAGTTTTGTAAAAATCGCACAAGCAGTTTTTAAAAAATTAGTTCTCAAAATTTTAGCTCCTCAATGTTAATTGAGTTTGGTATATATTTCTTAATCTCTCTTTTTTTTATTAAACTTCTTTGATTCTTCCTTTTACATTTCGAAATTCAGGTTCATTCCAAATAAAATTCACCCATTTTTTATGATTTAGTTTTAAAATATGTATTTTAAAATAATTTTTATAAATTTTTCAAAAAAAAAATTAATTATAATCTATAAAAATTTTATCATTTTAAAGTAGACATATTCCTAAGCATAACTGCAAAAAATTAGTCTTTTATTCAAAATTTCCGAAGATATACGTGAATTTATATATTGGCGCGTTCTGAAATTTGGCATATTTGTGAAAAGTGATAAAACATCAAATGTGCTTCGCTAAAATTATTTGAAAGTTAGAACCATGTGACTTTTTTGTTCCTCATGCACAATGTAAAATGATAGGAACAAGGTGCCTTTTTTCCCTGCTGTGACAAAATGGAAGGCAAAGCAAAATTGGTTGCCATATAAGAAGTTCGTCAAGTGGAGTATTCTTGGCGTAAACTGAAAATAAATTGTGCCAAGATAAATTTTTGAATTTCTCCTTAAATTTCACACCAAATTTTACAAAATTTAATATCTAAGCTTAATTTGAGTCGTAGAATCAAAATATGAAAAAAGATTGATATGTTATTTCAGAAAAAGTCCGATTTTGTGTCAAAATACCTATGCTAGAACAATGCTATATATAAATATAATATATATCCTAAATCGCACTTTCGAGACATGGAAAACACAATTTGAATTGTGTCAACCGGCCCAGTAGAACGGGAGATATAGGACTGTTCCCCCTTTTTTTTTGGCACAGTGTACCTTCATGCTTTATTATAATTAGTTGTCTAGCATATTTTATAAATGCTCATACAAAGTTTTTTTAAGTATATCTAATTGAGATTTGAATCAAACTTTTGTGGATATTTTAAAATCCTAAAATAAATAGCTCAAATTATTCTTATAAAAGTATGCAACTGGTGTCCAATAAATATTTCAATCTCTGATAACTCATAAGCTTATTGAAATGAATGACTAATAGAAAAGTAAATAAAATGCAAATGCATTTCTTCTTTCTCAAAGTCTTCAAAAGCAAATTATAGTTTTTTGGTTTTTATTTTTATTTAATGTTGAATTTTTAAAGTTAAATGTTGAATTTTTAATATTACATGAAAATGCAAAATATTAAAGGAAAGGGGAGGATGTGTTACAATTTTCAGTCACAAAATTCTGTAGTAATTAATTTGAAATTGATATCTTGCAGTTTTTTTATCCTAATGTTGCCATACCATAAAATATAAGTAGTGCGATATTTTGTATTAAAAACGTACATTAAACATTTTAAAACTTAGGAGCTTCAGCTAATTTAATTCTAATTAAAGATCTAAATATTTGTGGTTCATCTTGCAATTTTCAATCAGCTTCATTTTTTAGAGACTCACTATTCCTAAATGCTGTCCTCCCAGATTTGCCGAGCTTATGACTGCATGCTGGAAGACAGATCCAAAGGTAATCTTTTATTTTCTGTAGTTGCATTAACAAAAGTTTTTGTGCTGCTTTACTGCAGTATGTATTTAAAATACATGGGATGTTAAATTTTAATTATTTGCAGAAAATGAATTTTAAGCTCTTGATTGGTTTAGTTTAAACTGCATATCTAATAGAGATTGTAACATTTAAATATTTTAAGGTGCCATTAATTTTAATTAAACTGATGCAATTTGATAGCATTTTATATAAATTTATGCTGATTTTCACATAAAATCTTTTAGATTATTAGTTTTTTTTATTATTTTTTTTAAAAATAAAATAATATGAATTTGTTTTGCAGTATGATGCAAGACAGTTGTGTGACAATTTTGTAACTTGGCTAATAATAGTGAGGCAACTTATGTTTTGATTTAAGGAAATTAATCAAGAACTGTCATAATTGTCTATTACTATTCTTATCATCTGTTCTTTTATGAAAATTTTACAATAATTCTTGAATATAAGCCTAATGATTTTTTTTCCCTTACTGCTTGCTTTTTGAGGCTGTTTTACACCCTCTGACACAATTAACAATTTTTTTTTTGCAGTTCAACAATGCACTGCACAGAAAACATTTTGCAGTTCATTAGTAGAGAATTTTTCAAACCATTTTGTACGAGGGTTGGAACTTTAATAGTGGCAACCATTTATTTACAAGGAATACAAAAGTGATTCATGTCGCCATGTTTTACAGTCCTTCAATATAGTTGCCAGCATTGTGTACAACCCGTTTCCAACGATGTGGAAGTCGCAGAATACCTGTAGCAGCGGCTGTTTTGTTGATAGTTTGAATGGACCGGCCTACTGCCGCAAGAATCTCAGGAACAGTTTGGAAGCGAGTGCCACGAAGTGGTTCCTTCATCTTAGGAATTAAGTCATAGTCACAAGGGCTTAGATCTGGGGAGTATGGTGGATGGTAAAGTACTTCCCAGCCCCATCGCTTGAACAAATCAGTCACAGCTTGCGCTGCATGCGGCCGAGCATTGTCATGCAAAATGAGAGGAGCGTTCTGCAGAAAGTGTCGCCGTTTTTTTCTCAAAAGCTGGTCGGAGATTTTGCTCAAAAAATGAGCAATAATACTGTGCAGTGACGGTCTGCTGTGGGGGAACGGTATGCGTTAGGATGACACCATCACAGTTGTACAGGAGAATCACCATAACTTTCACATTGCTGGGATTCTAATGAAATTTCGAATGTCGTGGTGACGCCATTCGTTTGACTGGCATTTCAGTTCTGGCTGGTACGATTGGGCCCAAGTCTAATCCAGCATAATGATACTGCATAAAAAAGCATCTCCTTCACGCTCATAGCGCTCCAGGTGGGTTCGGGCAGCATCGTATCGTAGCCATTTCTGCATTTCTGTCAATTGATGTGGAACCCATCGTGAAGCAATTTTTCTCATGGACAGGCGTTTCTTCAGAATGTGCAGCACAGTCGTATGCGCTAATCCTGTTTGTCCGGCCAGCTGACGAATCGTTTGGCGGCGATCGCTGTCCATTAGTGCCGCAACAGCTTGCACGTCTGCATCGCTGACACTCGGATGACCTGGTCGCAGCATGTCTACCACGTTTTGTTGTCCTTCATTGAATGCTTTCACCCATCTTGCTACGGTTCTGTAAGGCAATGCAAATTCCCCACAAGCCTCTTGAAGCCCTTGATGACACTGTCGTGCTGTACGACCTCTGACACATTCAATTTTTATCCAACATCGTTGTTCTTGTTTTGTAACATCCTGACAACACTTACTTTAGACCGTGAGCTAATACAAGGATTCGTTCTTCGCGTCACTCCGCATGCGCGCGACGTAGGCAGGACGAGTCTTTTTGCTGAGAGGTAAGTTAGGTATGTAGTTTACGTGTGGTATACGTGATATTCTTTGGTTTTGTTGCGTAGCGTTTTTTCAGCTGTGTTGCCACTATTAAAGTTCCAACCCTCGTATAAAATGGAAAGTGTCTGAAAATTTGTGACAGGAGTGCCAAAATTTTACAAACCATTTTGTATAAAATTTTGCTTTGAATGAAAATTTGTTATTGTGCTTGTCTTGTAGGGGTAAAGTTACAGACATTTCATTTGGGGTTGAACTAAGTACTAGAAAAAATTTTGTTTGACCTTATAACAAGGTACATTTAATGAACAATTATTCTCTTATTAAGCTGTGTTTTGAAAAGTTAGTAAAATTTACACTCATCAAATTTTCTTTAATGCTTACCATTTTGTAAATCCTCATTTTGCAGCTTATACATAAACAAGTCTCTTTAATTTCGCATTGATGACTCCATATAGGCAAAATTCTTTTAATTCTTTTTTAGGAGATTCGTTTAACTTGCTTAAGAATTGGTCACTCTTATATTACTCATAATTATCTTCTGAGAGCTGAGAGTGAACCTATCTGCTCAAACTACAATGTTGTTTTGTTGGTACAGCATATTTTAGTGAAATGCCCTTATTTTAATGAGCTTTGTATAAAGTATTTTAATAGCTCTCTAGTAAGTCTTGACAGTATCATTGGGCAAAATTTTTATTTTAACATATTTCAGTATTCAAAAGAAACGATCTTATTGCTCAATTTGAAATGTTTTTAAACCTTGATATATCTTAATTTTTTTTATTTGTGCTACTTTTAAAGTATTTTTACTGTAGATTTCTTAATTTGTTGATTCCATTATTCCTTCATCATGTCATGCATCAGTATTCATTTGTATACCGTCTTAGTTAGTCTTGTGTTTTTACTTGGTTCCATTTTTTCATAAGGTTCATAAGGTTATTCTTATCATTTCATAACATTCATCTGTTATGCCATTATTTTATTTTGTTTTAGAATTTTCTGGATTATTATACAGGATGATGCAGCTTCATCATATATGTAATGATATTTTTAAATCAGTTGACTAAATTAAATTCTAATTATATTCCTTAATAATGTGTTGGCGATTCTCTACCTAAATTGCATCCCTGTTCCTAAATTTTGGCGAAATCCTTTCTTTATTATAAGTTATATTAACCTGTTGGCACCCGCCAAATCACCAATGAGCACTATCGCGCACACATATCTATAAATAGGGCTTCTCCTTGAGGTACAGGAGGGGACGCTTGTGAGATGGATGCTAAAATAAACGTATCACCTTATACTCCAAAATTTGTCTCATTCCTGTTGCCCCAGCTGCACAACACAAATAATGTATGAGAAAAAACATTTCATATATATATATATATATATATATATATTATTTCCAATGACAGATTACAAAGACAACTGTAGACAGAACAAGCAAAGATGAAAGAGAACCAGTAAAACTAGAGAAGAGCCACAATATAATTTATAAATCTATTTTTTATCTCGCCTCCCAGTATCTCTCCCAGAGTGATCCAGCATTAAATGTGCAATTACTCAAATGTGAAGAAGCCATTTCCTCAGGAAGGTTGCACAATATATAAATTGGGGTTGGGATAATATTGATTTGATGCAAATGTTTTAAAAGGCAATCATGACCATAATAAGACAAAAGATAGCAACAGATTTCTCTCTGGGCCATAAAGGAGTGTTAAAAATTCTGTTTATTCATACTTTATGACTGTTCCTATCGGTAATGTATTTCCAAAAGCCTGTCTAGTAATTATTGATTACTCTTTTGGTAGTTTAAAAAGGAATGTGGTTTTCAGTTATTTGGAGGACATTGGCCCCTTTCTTTGCCAACAGATCTGTCTTATTTCCATGAAGACCACAGTATGTGATAGTATCCATTGAATGGTAACTTCTTTGCCCTTCTGAGCCAAGTTGTTTAGAAACTGCTCATATTTTAAAACATCAACAGACATTGGTGATTTGAAAGAAGAAATGGCTAGAAGAGCAGCTTTAGAATCGGAGAGCGACAACCTTTGAAAAATGTTCAAGTTGACATTGGAGTTGGAATTAGGCTATGCATATGGCCATGATCTCAGCATCAAAAGCAGCCCTATTCCTTCTAATAATATTATAAAAGAAAAAAAGTTTACAAAAGACAACAGCTTTCATTAATACTGTCAGCCAACACAGAACCATCCATAAACACATATAGCCTTTCATTCTCAGAATAAGAAGCAGTAATGGATTCCAAAGACACTGACTTCAAAATTTGGTCATTTGTTTCGTTTTTGAGGATTAACAGATTAATTTTGGCTGCATATTTTTTATATCAGTTGAGCATTGTAGTTTCACAAAATTTTCAGCTTCTAAATCCAATCTTCAAATCTTCAAAATCTAAGGCCTAGTTGATGTCTGATCGAAAAGACTGCCTGAAGAAAACCATTCTGCATTTTAAGTTTTCTCTACATCAGTAAAATCTAATAAGGAAAAACAGTCTTGTTCCCTTAACTTTTTTTTTCGTAGGTTTAGTGCTCACTCTTCCGCAATGGATTTTATGCACATATGGTGTGTAGCTAGTAAAAGTGCAACAACTGGAGTGGTTTTAATTGTACCAGCAATAAGTCAGAGAGCTTGGCTGTGAAATCTTTCAAGTGAATTGATCACTTAATTAAATGCTGCTGTGAGGGGCTTTCGGCAGAAAGTAATTAAGAGATGAGATAGAATGTAGGAGCTGTATGTCAAATCAAGAGTGGTTCTAGAACAACCCCATTTAGATCCAGCAATTCTCTTCATTAAAGTTAGCCTCTTAGTAGTGCATTCTAAAATCATTTCAACATACTCTTTTTAAGTCAATTTTTGGTCAGAAATGACACCTAAGTATTGAAAGCTGTTGGTTCCATGTACTGGTGAACCCTGATATAAAATGCCTAAGTTCAAAAGCTGGTAAAAGAAAATGTTTGATACACAGTCTTCTCTAAATTAACCTCCATATTATGAGTATAGGATCAGTCTTCTAACATCTTTAGGGCCTGATTTAGAATTAACTCTTGATTGTTCCTATGTATGACGTTTTGGAGTCTCAGAAGACTACGTACAATAAACTTTTAATACCCTTTTCTTTCCAATTTCAGTTATG